AGATGCATGATGACTGCAATGTCACTTATCAGAAATGTTCCCAGCCTGGGCCATTAGCCTTGACTCAGATATGGGGTTCTGGCTCTAAGCCTGATTGTAAATTTGAACACTCGTGGATAGACTGCATGATTGAATAGAAAGAGCTTAGTCAAAGATGTATATTCAAATTTGGCTCTGCCACTTACATCAAGATCCCCTTAGAGATGCTCTAAAACAATGTTTTTCAAACTTTAAATGTGTACATAAATCACCTGTGGATCTTGTTAAACTGCAGATTGTGATTAAATTGGTCTGAGGGGTGGGGTCTGAGATGTTGCATTTCTACCAAGCTTCCATGCATGTCAACGCTGCTGGTCCCTGGACCAACTTTGAATAGCAAGGTTTTAGAAGATTATTGATAGGACATGTGAAAAGCACACGTGTACATGAGAAAACACTTTGTAAACTGTAAAATGGCATAAGTATCACTTGATATTAATTAGTAATAGTTGGGGATTCAGTACAACTCATCAGGAAAAAGTTCTAGCAGAATAAGTTATGTTCCAGATATTCTTCAATTTTTTCTTTTTAGCAAAATCAAAAACAAAACTGGGACTTGGAAAGGCAACACAAGAAATATCCTAAACAATTCTATTGCTTTTTGAGTGCTTTGAAAGATTAACTTTCGTATAACCATCTGACTAAAACGATGAAACATCCCCTGCTTTTCAAAAGAAATTTGTATAGTTAGAGCTAGTCACAGATTTGTCCTTAGATTGTTTCATCCCAATTGAAATAGGAATAGTAAGTCACAAGAAAAAGGAAGACAGTTGGCTCCAGGAACACTGGCAACAAGAAGAAGAGATCACTGTGAGGGAAGAAATTAAAAACTAAGAAAAGCCGACACAAGAACACAAAAATCAGAACTGTATAAACATCTAGTTTAACTTAGGAAACTGTTCTTTTTTCACTGGTGTTGGCATTTTCCGGAAGAAATGAACAAAATCGACAGGTATAATTATTGATTTCTAAAACATTTCTGTGTTCTTATCTAAAGTACAATCAATTCCTGTTCAAGCATTAGTTTGCAAACTAGCCCCCGTACACAGAGGGCAAGGAGAAACGGAAGAAAGAAGCAGACCACTGCAGACTGGAAGGGAGCAGTTTTAATAAGCAAGAGAACTCACATCCAAGGCTTGTCTTGGGCGGCCACAAGATGAGTAGATCTCTGCACCCACCGGCCAGAATCTTAAACGTTTGTATAGAGATCTTAATGGGGTTCAGGCACATATACCATCCAGATGGTCTCAACAAAACATTTCTCTCTCAAGGCTGTCTCCTTGAAACCAGCTCTGGCTGTGGGAACAGTGGTCAAATCGTACATTCCAAGGACAGGGGCGGGGTTAAGGGGTCTCCTATTGCCCAGGTCCAGCTCTCAGGTCAACCTGCGGTCACATCCTCTCGCTGATCTCCTCCAACATCAAGGAAAGACGCACTGTGTCTGAGGTTCTAGTCTCACAATATTTTGGCCCATCTTTTGTTATTGCATGGTCAATTTGCTGTATTATGTAAAGAAGACTTTCATCACATATCAGAAAATGCATAGCAGACCCCTCCCATGGGGAAAAGAAAAATCCCTTCCTGATTCTTTGGATTTTGGACAGAATGACTCCCTGTCATAGATCCAGATCACCAACACCTTACCCAGATCAAGCAACAGCTTGCTCGTTCCCACGATGGATCTCTTTACAACGGTTCTGGAGGCACCACGATTATAGAGTTAGAACTCTGCCTCAAAGCAGCCAGAAATTCATCAGACTCACCTCACCTGAATTTTATACTTTGTCTTCCTGTTTCCATCCCTGTTAGTCCTCTCTGACCTGCTTGTGGTGAGAGAAGGTATCATTCAAAATCCAAAATGCCAGGATATTGTTAAACAAGCATGTATGAATGAAAACTCAGTTTGGTGTCATCAGAGATAGGAAGAAATAACAGACGAAACTGAAATCTGAGTAGCTGTCAAGGTGTTCCAACATTCCTTTGAAAAATAAATGAAAAGTAAAACTACTAATACCAATCACTAAATTAATTCCTAAGGCCAGTCAATACCAAATCATGAAGCCATTTAAATGCAAAACAGCCACTGAGAGATTTGGTTCTGTAAGCATTCGAGACGCAGACACTTGAGAAATGTTTCGAGATGCCAGAACCGTGCTCATGGTGGGGAATATCACACACCTGCACTAGCCCTGGGTAATCTGGGTCAGCTGCCCCAAGTGGGTGGCCTCATAATTAGACAGCTCTTCACTCTCCAGTTGCTTCACCTAAGAAAACCTGAAGCTTTGAGGATGACTGAGCAGCAGTTCCCTTCCACAGAAACACTTGTGTGGTGCATCAGGAGTGGTTTTAAATGGTGGAGATAATTACTTAATTCAAGCTGTAGCAACTGGCCAAGTAAACATGTAGCAGCCAGGAAGCTATTAGCATGATTTTAAGGCAATTATTCCATTAGTGTTTAATAGTCTCCAATTAGTCTTCTCTGACTATTGAAGTTTGAATGTCTTTTTTCCTCCCCAATTCTCACAATTGAGTAATGCAGAAAGATACCAAACTCATTTTAAAACCTGGATTTATATATATGGATCTACCAAACCAACTTTACAGGATCATGGGGGAATTCAAGGATGGAGACTTGGCGAAATATGTTTTTTTTTTTTTTTCTCAGAAGTACAGGGGGTAGGAATGGAGGCTTTGCAGGGGTTTTTTACTTTACTAAGAGGGGTTGGGAACACAGTGGAAATTCCCACCGCATCCAATGCCATTATCTTTATGTCTCTAAGATTACCAGAATATCTAAGTCTCTGACCTCAGGTTTCACTTTGTGCCATGGGGAGAAAAGAAAAAGTTCCCTGTTCCTGCTTATGCCCAGTTCCTCGGCCCCCCACCCTGGTTAGTACTTGTTGCAACTGAATCATCCAGATATGAACTCCAAAGCATTTCCCTCCAAAATTCCTAGGAGGTCTTCCCTAAGGACCACTTTAGGGGTCAGATCACTAACCTAATAGTAGGTTATTTGCCTTCACTGAGCTGCGATTTTGACGTCTGTGAAATGGAGTTTAGCGTACCAGCACTGCCTGCTTCCCAAGGTTTGGGGAAGGATTATGTGATCTGGTGTACATACTAGGGCTTTGCAAAGCGAAGTAATACAGAAATGTAAGATAGATTCAGACATGGTATCATTCCATCCCTCAGAACTAGAAATGTGAATTTAGGCTTTTAATCTCTCTGTGTCCCTGGAGAGCCACCTGTCAGAAAGCTGGCGTCAGAGTCCTCGCCCTTCTTACCTTCTCTGTGTACAGAAATGCTCAGGTGAGACCATGTGAAAGTAACTGTCTAAAAACCAAATAAAAACAAAGAAAGAAACGAGGATAAGAATGCCTGTGGAAATGAGAGTGGAATTTTGCCAACAAAGTTGTGTACTTTCTACTATCTCCTTCAAAAGAGCAATCCCCAGGCTCACCCAGGTAGCAGGGTACGTGCAGAGTGGAGAAGCTGCGGTGTTGTTTTCCTTAGAGATAGCTGGGCTCTTGGGAAGCTACCTCTTGATGATGGGCAAAAGGAGACAATCCTTTCCCTTCTGGGGTTAGCGCTCAGCGTGGCCTGTGCCTATCACAGCCTCCAAACATCCGCTTGACTAACAGCCATTGATTTGAGTTGCTAATCAATTCTAGCGCTGCTGTTTTGAGCCTCTTGGGATATTTAGGAGTACCCCTCTTTTCCGTTTTTTTCTTTTCTCTATGTTTTCTCCCAGTGACTGAGAGAGGGCACTGAATGGGGCAGAGCAAGAGGAGGTAGACCAGAAGGATGAACTTGATAACTGGGCTTGGCTCAGGGCAGGGGATGGACCACCTGTGGGTAATTTGCCCTCTAGCTGGGTCCTGGAAGGATCAGTTGTCTGCACCCTCAGCCCAAGTGAAAAGTCAAATTGGTAACAAAGTATGGCTGTGTCCCCAGCTGTCACCATGGTACACTGTCCTGAAACGACTGTCTGCTCTGCACACCTGAGCTAGGGGCTGCTGCCCCAGAAACCTGCCCAGTCCTCTGGTCCAAGTCGCACGCACCATGCTGCAGCCTCTGGATCCCTTCCTTGCTTTGCCCAGGATTCCTTCCTTCTAGGCTGTCTGGACACCGCGCAATCGCCGTTCCCTATGGTTTGCCTGTCAATCCCATCCCTCAGCCGCTGCTCACGCAAGGTCCCCTACCCGGCTTCTGTCCCAAGCAGCAAACGCACAGTCTACAGGGTTTGCTTTTCTGACCCGGGCGCTATACGTTGCTAACAGCACTTGGACCAGAATCCAGAAGGTGGCCACCCGGCCAGGCCCTCGGGATGCACGCAGCCCAGGACGCGGCGCCCTTCGCCCCTCGCCCCCTGCAGCTCCCAGTCAAGGGCAGCGATCATGCCGTCGCCGGTCCCTGAACTTTCATCACTCTTCGGGAAGCGCTTTGTCTCTTTAAAGGAGACTGGAGACGAATGTCAATGACTCGAGTAGGTTCTAGCGGAGAAATCTACCAAATCCGCTCTATTCTGTGACAGGATGGAGTCCGAGGTCCACCAGCCGAGCCCTTAGGACGCCAGCTCGCGCTCACCTCGCTCTGTCTTCCCACAGACCCAGAAATCGCCCCCACCCCCTGAGTCTGCGGGGAAAACCGTGGGAGGGGGACGCGAAGCGCATCCTACAGCTGAGCCTTTCCCCTAACCCAGCCCTCTCACACAGCCTGCTTCCAAAGCCCAGCGCAAAAGCAGTCACCTTGACTCCACGCGCCACGGTCCCCAGAGGTTTGGAAAAGGCGAGGAGGCCCGGGGCTCCCAGGCACGCGCTCGCCTGGCCCGAGACCCACCTCTGGAGATGAGTTTCCCTCCCTCGGGCATCGGGGCAAGTTACCACTTAGTGGCAAATAAAGCAGGGCGGGGCAGGTGGAGCGGGCGCCAAGCGCCCCGTCGGCAGCCTCAGCGCGCCTACCTGGGATGGCTAAATTGGTGAGGGGGATGCTGTGGATGCTCTCCGGCAGAGTTGCCATCCAGTCGGCGAATTTCAGCTCATTCTTCCCCTGAGACGAGGCCATGGTGCTGGTCTGCTTGCCGCGCGCAGGTCCCCGCACTCCTTGGGCAGGCTGGCAGGTTGCTGCCGCTAATCCAATGTTTGCTCCAGCCCCGCTAGAGTTTACACTCCGCTCTGCGCCACACCCACAGGATGGCGCAGACACATGCTAATTTTAATAATTATTCAAAACACCCCATGCTCCCTTCGTGCCTCCGCCAGACTCCGCCGGAGCTTTTGTTCCTGACGTCCGCGTTAGGCTTTCTCCTCTCTCCCCTCCCTCCCCGACTCCCTCCTCCCGTCTTATCCCTCCTATGCGTCTCTGCCTTTTCTCGCCATTCTGCAGCTCTCCTTGGCTTATCGTTATTCTTTTTTTTTTAAAAAACTTGGTTTACCCAGCTTTGCCTATGGTCTTGCTCGGCCCTTTGATGTGACTTCCTGGTCTTGTTTGTAAAAAAAAGACAGTCTTGTGGTTGGACCTAAAATCCTAGTAGACTTCGGGATTCTATCGTCTCCTGGGGAGCTGACTCTCATACTGGCTTTCAGGACTTTCCATTCTTACCAGAGAGCTTTCCTTTTTGTAAGCTACAACAGGTTATGGCTTTCCTCAGCTGGAGCCCACAGCCCTGCTTATAACAAAATGGTGGTCTTTATTCACCACTTTGTCTAATTTTTGGAGTAGTTGACAAGTGTGCTGTCATGAAAAGGCAGTAAATTCTAGGTGGTTCCTACTTAATCCCTAGTATCCTGTTTCAGACATTTCAAGGTAAAGAAGCACTTCAACTCCTTCATTTCCCCGATCATGAGAAATCTATGTTATTTCTAGGGATAAAGCTGCCTATGTCCTCTCTCTGTCGTTCTCATGACACTCAGGAGCAGGCAGAAGCCTGATGCTAGAGGAAAATCATCAGATTTCTCAGTGACATGCTGTAATTATTGCCAGTCGCATTTGGTGGAATTTATTTGGCACCATTCGAAATGATCTTTGTGACTGTCTGAATTTTCATTCCTTGGCAGACTAGAGAGCTGTACCTTTCTCAAGAGAAATCACTCATTGAGCCTCCAAAGAGCTGTCTTGGTCCACCTGCTCTCATACGAGAAAGAGGAGAGGAATCAAGTCTTACAAATGTGGTAAGTCCAGGAATGGCCTGAGTAGGAATAAGTAATGGACTGAAAATGTGGTGGGTCTTTGCAACCCAGAGAAAGTAGATGCAGTAAAGGTACCTCTGGTCTTTGATCCAGTGGTGTGTAAATCCTTTTCCTAAAGTAAATGCCATTAGGTTGGGGAAATGAAAACCAAGGTAGGAGAGAGACCTGTAAAACATGGGAATGGCCGTTTTATTTCAGTAAATCATATAGAATTAAAAACACCCAAAACTTGCTTATTGTACAGGGATGCAAAGCCCAAAGAACATTCACTCTAAATGAGGACCATTGTGGGAAAGATGGAGAGAGGAGACGTAATGCCTTAGCCTTGTGATCAAGTTTTCCATTCTCCCATAGACTAACTTCATAGCTTCGAGAGGGTATGGTAGTGTTATCTTTAAGAATGAGAAAGAGATGTACTGGGACTTTTTTTCCCAAGGTAAATCTTAGTATTCTTACTAGCATGGTAGAACCCACATATACTTTTGATGAGAGTGAGAATTTAGCTCACTATAGGATTCTTGGTCAAGAGATCTACAAACATCACACTTCTGGCTAATGTTGGTGCTCTAGACATCACTGCAGGGCAATGCGGAGAGCTCAACTCTGGGAATCAGCTGCTCTGGCTATGAGTAGTTTGGGCGAGTCTTCTAGTCTCTGTCAGTCCTAGTTGTCTCTATATAAAATGGCAATAGTAACTCAGAGATTTGTGGTGAAGCTTCCAGGAAAGAGTGTATATGAAAGAGCTTTGCTATTAGCAAGGCATCATATGAAATGTGAGAGTTAAGTTTATTAACACAGCAACATATGTGTATTTCCCTCTCTTTGCCTTTTTTTCATTTTTTTTTTTTTTTTTTGGCTGAGGAAAATTTGCCCTGACCTAACATCTGTTGCCAATCCTCCCCTTTTATTTTTTTTTTGTATGTGGGACACCTCCACAGCATAGTGGGTGAGAGGAGCAGGTCTGTGCCAGGATTCGAACTGCAAACCCAGGTGCAGAAGCAGAGTGTGGGGAACTTTAACCACTCACCATGGGGGTGGGCCCTCTTTGCCTTCTCAGTCATTATAAAATATTCATATTCAAGAGGATGAAATAATTACTGAATCTTGATAACATTTTTTAATACGATACACTTTAAAAACATCTCCTTCAAGTGTGTTGAACTTATGTGTCTCTAAAAGGTTACAAAGCATTTTTAAAAAATGAAACCACCCTAAATGTTGAGCAAAGCTGCCCTATAAAGAATCATATACTGTGTCTTTGGTAAAGTAGATGAACAACCCCTCCCCTGTTTTACCTGTTTTGAATGTTAGAATTTTTAATGTATTGGTTTTGCATAAAACTTTACATTTCTCTGCATGCAATCCACTAGAGAAGACAGGGCTGGAAGTCAATAGTTCTGAATTTCTTTCCTGAATATAAAAAATAATCATTTAGGCAATTTTATCCCCAGTTTCCCCATCTTTCTATTATCAGCTCTGCCACCAATTACTAAATGATATTAGGAAAATCACATAATTTCTCTGGGCTTCAGCTTTCCTGCTATTAGTATTAGTCAGGGTTTTCCAGAGAAACAGAACCAGTAGTGTGTATGTGTGTGTACAGATGAGAGAGAGAGAGAGAGAGAGATGTTAAGGAATTGGCTCCCGTGATTGTGAGAGCTGGCAAATCTGAAAGGCAAGGCCAGCGGACTGGAAACTCAGTAGGATTTCTATGTTGCAGTCTTGAAGAACAATTTTTCTTGTTCAAGAAACCTCAGTCTTTGTTCTTAAGGCCTTCAACTGATTGGATGAGGCCCACCCACATTATAGAAAGTAATCTGCTTTACTCAAAGTCAAATAATTGTATATGCTAATCATATCCATGAATACCTTCACAGCAACATCTGCAATAGTGTTTGGCCAAACTACTGGGCATCAGAGCCTAGCCTAGTTGATACATAAGATTAACCATCACGCCCACTGGCAAACTAAACTAGAAGTTGTTACTAACCTCTAGGGTCCCTTTTGACTCTATTATTCTATAATTCTGTTTCCTTTGTGATTCTTTCTCATACATTTATCTGCTGGAGATAGGAAGAGGAGGAATGTAAATAGGTACCTTAGTTTTTTTACTCCATCCAGACAGCTCAAGGTGTGGATCAACATGTTTACCACTACAACAGAGATGAGAAAACACTAATGGTTTTTAAGTGTGATATCAATAGTAGCCAACCTTAAAAAACAAACAAACAAATAAACAAAAACAACTCTTTTAAGAATAAATGGAAAGGGGGCTGGCCCCGTGGCTGAGTGGTTAAGTTTTCATACTCTGCTTTGGCGGCCTGGGGATTGCAGATTCTGATCCTGGGCACAGATCTACACACTGCTCATCAAGCCCTGCTGTGGTGGCCTCTGACATAGAAGAACTAGAATGACCTACAACCAGATATACAACTATATACTGGGGCTTTATGGAGAAAAAAAAAAGAGGAAGATTGGCAACAGATGGTAGCTCAGGGCCAATCTTCCTCAACAACAACAACAAAAAGGCATAATTTAAAAAAAAAAAAAAGAACCAGCATGATAAATCATTTAAAAAAAAGAAATAGAGATAAATGACTTATTGCAGTGGTTTTATATAATCCTCAGCTGTCCATCAAAACCCCACTATGCACAGTTTATAAACATTGCTACTCATTTGGAACGTTTCCTGACTTCATATCCTCCTCCACCCTTAAAAATACATGGCTCTTTGCTATGCATTTTTTCAAATAAATTGATTTTGAATTATGTTCTGAAAAACAAGGATTCTTATAGGTCAAAAAACATTAGCACACATTTCAGCTGAACAATATTTTAAAAAGGAACTCTGTTTAAAACAATTAAGCTGAATCATTAAAAAAACCCCACAATGTTCAGAAATATACATTTACAGAGTCAAACTTAAAAAAATCGTATCCCAAAAGACAATAAAGAACCTTTGTAAAATTAACTATTAATAATAAATGCATTTTTACCATTCTCTACAACCTCTACCTAGATATTTCATCCAAAGAACTTGACTGTATTTAAGTATAAAAATACTTTTTGTGCTTAAATTCAAGATAGGAAAAATTGATAACCCCCACTTTTCTCCAGCACGTGAACCCTGCAGAGTTTTCAGCCTTACCTCTCCTCTCTTTCCCTACATCTACGCCTTATCTGCCAGCCAAAAATAAGCTAATCAATACCCAATGAACATAATCTAGTGCTTGGTATCACAGGCTGTGGGATCCAAAGGCTTGGATTCAAATCCAGGTTTTCCCAATTAGTTACTATATGTTTCTTGGTTTCTTTAAGTGAAGTATAGAGAATAATTATTTCTTTCTGGGCATGAGAAAATGGAAGGTTCTAGGAAGCTTAAATGAAGTGAAGAATTTAAAGTTTACTGAACAGAGTGGAAGCTCAGTAAACTAGTTGATTGTTATGCTTCTTGGAACCATGGCTTTGTCCGTGCTATTAACGCCACATGACACGCACATGCATGCTTTCATCTGTCCAAATTCTTTCCATTCGAACCAACTCATCTCTGCAACTTCCCTTACTATCCATAAGTAGAAGCAATCTTTCCTTTTGCTGCACATCCACTGAAGTTTGTTTATACCAATCTTGTAGGTGTTTCTAACTCCCCAGCTGGCCTTAAAGCATTATGTGGACAGAGGTGGTATTATCTGATACCCTATAATGCCTCTCACAGTGCCTAAGACAGAATAAGGGCTCATTATAATCATTCATTTGCTCACTTATTTCATAAATATTTATTGAATGTCTATTATGTGCTCTACTCTAGAGAAACACGATAGAGCAGCAAGTGCCTGAATGGACTGAGTTCGTGTTTCAAGCAGAAAGTGGCAAATGATAGCTTAATGGCTGACTAACAAATGCTTTGGCTGTATCTCTCACCTCAACGTCAAAAACCCTCCTTTAGCATGCCTATTTTTTAGCACTTCACTAAGTAGCATAAGACATAACTTGAAAATATATTTTGAAAGAAAAATTGGTTCAGAATTGTTTTGCCTCTTTATACCATCTCCCCTAAGTCTTCCCAGCCCTTTTGCTATCTTGGTAAAGTCAGTGATGACACTTGGAAACAACTGATGTACTTA